TTAAGACTACATGACAGCATTTGCAGCTTGTCTCCCAAGCATTGTATGTTGAGCCCGGTCGAATCAGCCTGTGTTAATATGAAAACTTACGTGTGCGACAACAATATCAACTGTCGCTGCCTATCTCGATCATATATATATATAACGTTGAAAACACGTTCAAAAAATCGGACAGTTCCGCGAAACAAACAGAGGAAGAGATAATCTTTGAAGATGAAGAGGTGGATTCGGAAAATGACGACGATTTCAACTGATCGCATGCTTTTTGAACTATTCTCGTTGTTATTTATCATATTATTCGTTGTCAAAAAAGATCGCTCGTGCATATAGTCACTCTGAAGAATGCTAAAAAATATCTGGCAAGCTGAAAATTCTAATGGGTGCAGAAAATAGCGTGGCTAAATCTTTAAGAAAACAATATACGAGTCGCTTCATTCAAATTTAAAGTTCAAAAAGGACAACAACGTTGCTATTCTATTTCACAGAGCTAAAGCTAGGTTTCTAACCATCAGAAAATGATAACCAGAAGATCAGCATTCGCGAAAGAACAGCTAAAAAACCCTTTGGTAAAATACTCATAACTCTTAAATGCTTCAAGCTGAAAGTTTTGGCCTTGCGTAGTTTTGTAAGCTCGTGGTTGGCGGTTCGAATGCATTCCAGAAAATTGAAAATTCACCTCAACGATCTTATGCAAAGTGTTTGGATTTGAAAAACATTGCAGACAACCTATATAAAACTTTTCAGAAACAATATGCAGTATATGGTTCAATGCACCTTGATCTCCTCTTTCCAACGGTGAAAACAGCAGGTCTCTATCTCATTTCTACAAAAAATTATTCAAAAAACACTCACCCCTCTTCTATTTTGAAATGGACAACCATCACTATTTGGCAGCTATCACAAACTTTGTCTTAGTAAAAAAAAAAAAATAAACATTTCTTAGGGTATGTCCGATATTTTCACTTCTTTATTGAAAGGACAATCAATATACAGAAACCAAAAAACTCATCCCATCAGAGAAACACGGGCTCATTTTGACCGATATCTTATAGAAGGCAGCATTTGAAAACTTTGAGTCTAGCATAACTTTATTCTACTCTTAAAGATCTGTCCTGAAAGTTCCGAATTATTCTGATGGGCCTGTTCTCCGAAAACTCCGGAGGGGGAAAGGAAAACACCTTTAATTAAAGCATTTAAAAACAAACGCACACTCTGATGATTCATTTAAACACAGAATATTTTTCAGAAATCTAAACAACTACTTTATTTAGTGATATGAAATTTTGTTTTGATAACAATAAAAAGAAAACCGAGAGATAAGAAAATTCAAAATGAAAAAAAAAATGATATTCTTAGTTCATTTTTATCATTGAAATTAACTTTTATATTAATTTCCTCCTTGTTGTTTTTCTTCTAAATAAGCTTGTTTTTCAGCTTCAGTTAAACCTTCTTTTGGAGGATTTTTAACACGATTTAATTCATATTTACCACCTTGTACTTCAAGTAATAATTTTGCTTGAGTTGTTGAAAATGATTCAGCTGGCGGTTCAACATGTTTTAATGCAAAATCTTGCTTTGTTACTTCAGCTAGAATAGCTTTTTGAGCTGATTCCATTGAATCACTTGAAGACATTGTGTTGAAAATAAACTAATAAGAATAATAATCTAAAATAAAAATTATCAATTTTCTCGCTTACTATTAAGTTAATTAATAATAAATCCTTCTTAAGAGAACATTAACTTATATTAATTTATTTTTACTTCTCACACAAAAACTCGAATTACTACTTCTAACTGTAAACAAGAAGTCATGAGAGTATTCATCGATTTCTAACAAATTACAAATGATAAGCAAAAATATGTTAATACAAGAACTTGTTTTTATGAGAATTATGTACAGACACTTTCATTGACATTATTTCTGTAATATTTTCATGTTGAAAAATATTCATGTGAATTAATTTGTGAAAAATATGAAAACTTCAACAGTAAATTACCTGCATAATTGTATTGAAATTTTAAAAAAATCTGTGGCTTAAAACTGATAATATTGCAAACAGTTTATTTTAAAATAGTTTATGTTTGTTAGAGAAATATCAGGAATACAGTTCTCTGAATAGTTTAGCTTCTCGTGCATTGATCGGATGTATTGAAAGAAGACTTACGTCTACAAAAATCTTGTGTGATCACGTCGACGGGTGTCCAGTAAAATGAAGAAAGTAACTTCGAATAAATATTCATATTACTATAATTTCAAATGACTCATCGAAAAAAAAAACACTTAAACATACATGTTATTCATATTGTGAACTAGATAAAAGAAACTTCTTTTATAATAGGAAATTTGATGGTGATTTTACTAAATGGAGTATCATAATTATTTTCGAGGACAATAATTATAATTTCTTATATCCATTCTCTTAAGAACATAATAAGAGCTTTTAGACATACATAAAAATACAGAATGAAATAGTTTTTACCTTGAATCCTATTCTCTGATGTTTTTTGTAATAAACCCGTGTGAAGTTTTGTTTTATAATAGCAAAATCGATAATATTATTTATTTTTTCTTCCATAATTGGTGTTTTGGATAAATAAAACAACTCTCATATATTTTAGAGCGTATTTTGTCACGAAATATGAATAATATATATGCAACATTAAAAACATATTTTATATGATTGTGTTCTGGTTCTTCTACTTTCACTAGCGTTGATTTATTTGCAACAATAATCTAATAAAAATATTAATGGAAATGTCATTCAATATGAATAATGTATGATTCAGTTGAATATCTATTAAAGTTTTGTTGACAGTATGATGAATTAATCATGATCATGAATCATTTAACTGATATAGAATCATATTCAATGTGTCAAACTAAACTATTCTCAATGTGTATTTTGATTTTTCTATTAAACAAAGCTCTTTAATTTGTAACAAATTGATTTGATCATGGCATATCACGCAATCTTGATTAATTCGTATAAAATACCATCGAAAAATACAAAAAGAAAAACTGAAACAATTGCACAAGTGATAAATGTCAAAAGATCAGTAACAAACGAAAAACAAATTTATTTCATTTAGATTTCAGTGCATCGCTATTTTTTTTTAAACTTCTCTTTTGAAATTTAATCAACTTATTCGATCTCAAAACATATTATGAAGAAGAAATGTATCAAAATAAATTGAAAACAATATTTCAATCCGAAGAATTATGGGTTAACTTTTGATGCTAATGTACGAGATAAAATACAAGCAACATAAGGCTCATGATGAATTAAGATGTATTTTACTATTCATATTTTTCAATAGATCTCTATTCGATGAAACAGACTAAGCATGTCAAAAGATATTTGACAGGATAGCAAAAAATTCGTCTTATGCTATTAATTATTAAATAATGAGTTTTGAAGACAAGAAGTAGTATACATGTTCTTAAAAAACAAAAGAGAGAAAAAAATGTTTGAGAATCTCTTTCCTGTCTGTTTTATATTCATATTTTTATTGAATTCCCTACATCTCTATGATGTTTTCCATTGTATCATCGGTAAGAAAAGGTTTAATACAGCAAAAAACAACCCTATAGCTATTGTATATGATTTTTAATTTGGATGTTTCTAACGGGTAATGCATAAAGATTGACCTTTTCATGAGATAAACTTCCCTCGTCAGTAATTTTATGAATATCTTTCTCAATTTTTAAAGCTTTGACTTGCACATTTTTTTTCAAAAGATAACTGGTGAAATTCTCAACAAACTTCGATACAAATGACTATACAAAAAAGTGGATGAAAAACCGCTCGATCAACAATCATATAGTCGAAAAAACTTCAATGTCAAGCTACTGTTTTGGGTTTTAAAATTTTGGATCGATTTTTGATTACATACGGAAAAAACAGTGTACATCATTTTGTGGCTCATAAAAGGTTCTCTGCGTTTTAGAAAATTTCTATAGGCGTTTATTAAAATTTTGATTTATTGAAGTGAAGTATAGAATTAAGACGAATTCAAATTTATTACCCAATTGAAAGAAAATATTGTTCTATGAATTATATCTCAGTGAACTATTGTAAAGATTCTTTTCTGTAATAAGTAGTAGTTCGACTATGAAGAATTATCAACGCTTTCAACTTGATTTTTAAGAAGATTGGTTACTTGAAACCTCATAAAATTCTGTAAAGATCTTTTTCGTGCTTCATTCAAAAGAGTATACATGAAACCAAAGGATATTTGCCGTAGAATAGTCATGGAAAAGGAAATTATTAATCTTGTAAAAAAAAATTGAGTGTGAAAAGTGGTTCTTCTTTTCCGAGCATAGCACTGTTGATCGAATAGAGTTTTTCAGTTAATTTTTTCGTACATCAATTTTCATTAGATTTCGTAAAGACTATCACTGACTATCTTTTGAAACAATGTTTAAGTTAAAGCTTCAAAAATTGAGCAATACATTCACAAAAAAAATACTGAGAGAATCATTCTTTATGTAGTATTCATTATCTTCGTTCATTTGATTTATAGACTAAACAAACTGTCAATCTCGGTTGCATGTCTAGACTATTCTGTAGAAAGAAAATACCCAATATATGATTTCAATTGAAAAAAGATAATATCAATATCAAACAAAAACGAGAGATATATAGTTTACTAGAATATTTTATTATTCTAAATTTAATTTTTTCTTAAGTTTTTTTTTAAATTAAATTTTCATGTAACGATGAGAAATAGCGCCATCTGTATTAGAGTTTGAAAATTATATGGTTTTGAAAATTCACACGAGCGACACCAAAATCTTTATGCACGAGTATAAACCTTTTGATTGGTAAAGAATTTGAGATATCGAATTCGAATCGTTCGATACAACGCGAAGATTCTTTGGGTACGAAATAAAGAAACAATCGGTAAGAAATAAAATTCTTTTATTGAAAAATTTAGAAGAATGATTTTATTTCTTCTTTAGATCTTTATTGATTTACTTTTGTTTATACATATCGAAAATGGTTTTCTTTTTTACAAGCAATGGTAAAATATTTCCCAGTAGATTTATAATAATTTTTACTTCCTTTCTTATATAGTTGTCGATCCACCATATACAATTTATATGGGTCGAGATAAATATGAAAGTAAATTATAAAATTTATTATTTTATCGATTAATATAAAATTATTTCTTATTAGATAATGAATTATTGAAATATTGTTGGCCAGAAGATGTATGGTTCGTAGATTAGTATGATTTTATTTTATTGATCTGGAAAATTCTGATAATTTAAGGTTTCATGTTAGTAAATTATCATCGGCTCATGTTTATTTAAGACTTCAAAAGGTAATTATCAAGAGTTATAATGTTTAAAAAAGATCATATTTTTGGTTATTTAGGGTGAAACTATTGATAATTTACCTGCACTTGTTCTAGAAGATTGTTGTCAATTAGTTAAAGCTAATAGTATTGAAGGATGTAAATTAAACAAAGTTGATATTGTTTATACACCTGTTGATAATCTTCGACAAACAAATGATATGGATGTTGGTCAAGTTGGATTTCATGTTGATAAAAATGTAAGATCATTGTGATTGTCTCAAAAATTATTTTGTAGATTAAAATAAATACATTATTTTTTATTCGTAATTTTATCTTATATAATCTCCATAATATATATTGACTATCTTATCAGAAAAAATATTATGAAATTGTCTATAAACAAAAAACAAATGTCCAAGTTTTAGAACACCGTATGTTATATAATGATAAAGAAAGATTTAAAAAGCATTATAATTTGTAAGTACAGGTGGCCTATCTAGAAAATCATAGACTCAGTATCTTGTTAATACCTTTTTATTTCTAGTTTTATCGCTCATCCTTAAACTTTTTCTTCGTTGTTGTACATAACAAAATTTTGCACAAAATGGTTTGCTTAAGTGCGCACAACTCTCAAAATTTCCATAAATTTTCTTTGTCACGTTTTTATGCATGATCCGATAGAGTGCATTGAGTTACCTCGAAAAAACTTCGAATTTCAGATTTCATCAGAAATGTTGTTAATTTTTTGTAGAATCGTAAATATTATAATGTTTTCGTTCTATGCAACTGTATAAATATGTTTTCATGGTCCGCGACATAGTATTAACTAGAAAAAAAAAGTAATTTTTTAAAATTGCTTTTTTCTAGTTAATTTTATGTCGCGAAACACGAAAATATTATCACATTTATGGTTATTTGAAAAATTTACAATTTTCGTAGTAACTCTATGCGCCATATCCAATCACGCGTAGAAAAGTGTAAAAAACAGTTATAAAAACTTTGTGGTGTGCGTACCTTAATATATTATTTTGTTTAGAATTTCGTCACGTACTATATTGGAGAGCAATTTTAAAGCTGAGCAATAAAACTAGAAAAAAAAAGGTGCCAACAAGCTATTGAGTCTATCATTTTCTGTATAGACCATCTATTACTTACAGAGTGCAATGCTTTTTAAGTCTTTCTTTTTCACTATATAACACATGTTGTTCTAAAACTTAGACATGTGTTTTTTTTTTATAGAACATTTTATAAGACATTTTCGCGTAAGATAGTCAATATATATTATGAAGATTATATAAAACAAAAATTACAAATAAAAAAATGATCTATTTATTATGGATCACACCATATTAATGTTTTGAATTATATTCTCTAGGTTAAACAATATGTTGTAAGCAAAAAACAAAATGAAATTGTTAATCGATTAAATAAAACAAAAACTGAATTTTCGACGGAAGAATTTATGGTATGATATTTTTGTTTTAAGAAAGATGAATTTGAAATTTTATTTGATATTTAGAGTCAACGAGAACAACGTGATAATTTAGAACGAGAAGAGAAAAAACGTTTAATGAGAGAACAAAAACAACGAGATAAAGAAGAAGAAAAACGTCGACAAGAGCAAGCTGAATTAAAGTTGGAAAATAATGCATTTTTATTAAGAAAATAAAATCATTTTCTGTTGTATTATTTTTTTTGTCTAGAAATTATACATCACTTATGCAAACGGATAAGATGCGAACGAACAAGGTATTGTTTTAATGTTAATATTTATGTGTAAAAGTAAATTTTGTTCATATATTTACATTTCCAGAAAGGAAATACGATTTTTCACGTTATCTGATAAGGACTACAACTTTTTACTGGAAAACTCAGTAAAACTTCGATATTTCAATAACGAAGGCTCGAAAAATCAAAATATTCCAGGCTCTTCTATTAATCACTAGTATTGATCAAATGAATATCGTCTTGGCCGAAAAGTGCTTTGCACCTGGGGAGGCTCCCTCGTCAACTAATTAAATGTAACATGGATTGATACTATTTGGAATAAATCCCAGCAAATGTCTTCTGACTAAAATCATTCGCTTTTGATCAATATTCCAAACTTTTTAGTAAGCAGTAGCGATGTTCGACTATTACAATCGAGATATAAGTAATTTTTTATGAAGATGAACTTTTATGATTTGAGCAGATAGATCTTGGCAAAGTTGTTTAGTTACTATGGTGAAAAAAACATCAGACTTCGAGACTTTAGAATTTCTCTAAAGAATTCAGAAGATTTCAAGCTCGAAGTCTTCCCTCTTTCTTCCTTGGTCACTTTTTATACAACAACTGAAAAAGCATTTTATGCTGACACTAAAATATATTCAAAATGATATAATGTATGTGTTTCATTATACTCATGTATGCGCACCAAATTCCTTAATCATACTCATTTCATTGAATTTGTCACGAGTGTCTCGAGATCACCAGGCCAGGAGGAGAGGAAGCGACTACTGAGAAGGTAAGGTTCACGATATTTAATGAAGTCGATCCTTATTGCGAAGATTTGTGAGCAAAGAAAACGAAGAAGATCGTTGAGTTTCGCTGGGAAAAACGAAAATTTTTCAAGATTGCGGAAGAAAGCAACCGTCGACCTTTATCCGCTCGGGACATCCCTAGAAATTGTTCGTTGTCTTTGTATACCTAATCAATTATCTAGAATATTAAATATGATGATTCATTTTTTTAATCCTAGAAAAGTCACGCATTATTTTCTCTCATAAATTTAAAACCATATTTGATAGTTTAATAAGAATTGTTGGGCTCTATTTATACTTTTACAAGTAATACACAATATGACCTGACAAATCCGATCGCCTATTAGAAAATATCGTATCGATAAATAGAGTCAAAATTACGGTTGTTTATATGAAACAGGAGTAAATCTTTTTTTTTGCATTCTGTTGAAAAGAAAGAACGAAAAAAACAGTCACATTTTCCGCTTTCATAAACTCGAATGTTTCATGGAAATTTTTACCATGTTTGCTAGTTATTTGCTTATAAGAGAAGAATAAATACATAATATATATTTTGAAATTTTATTACATTATTTTTTTTTTTATAGGATGGTAATGAATCGGATGAATTTATGTAATTAGACTTCAATTTACGTTGTAAATTGTTTTCATTTTTATTATTTATCATTTTTGTTTTTGTTTTTTTCGTTTTTTCTTTGATTCATTTATATTAATAAAAGATTTTTCTTTGTTCTTACTTCTTATTTTTAGATGATAAATTTTTGAGTATGACAACAAATCATAAACCATTATCAATCATTGCTAAATGTGCATTATGTTCAATAAAAACAGAACTATTTGTTTGTTCACATTGTGATAAAGTTATTTGCCAAATATGTGTTGATAAACATCAATTAAAACTTAATGAAATACTAAAAGAACAATGGAATTTATGTAAAACAAAATATTTTAATTTATATCGATTATCAGGTTGAAAATTAAAAATTCGAAAAATGATGTTGTAAATGAAATTAATTATTGTTTTTTTATATAACTAGACATCTATGCTAAAGATATGGTAAATATTGAGAATGAAATCGATCGAATACGTTTATTAATTAATCAACGATCTATGGATTTAGTTAATTTAATTGAGCATGAGAAAAATAATTTATTAAATAAAATAGAAGAGTATATTCAATTAAATTCATCTAAGTGAGTTTAAATAATAAATTTATTAAGTAATAATATTTTGAAAAAACAATAAAAACAACAAAATTATATTTTCTTAGCGTTAAACATAGAGATCTACAACAATTATTTGATTCGATTAATCAACGACTTAATACTATATTTGAGTAAGAAGATATTCAAAATATTACTTAGTATATATATATGTATAGAGATCCTAATGCTTCATATAATACCGAAGATTTTCTTTTGGAAATCGAACATTTCAATACATTGATGTACAGTCGAGAAAAACAGATACAGACAAATTCACCTAAAGTATGTTATTCATAATTATATTCTTTGCTTAGAACTATTTGAAAAACTTATAAGGGAACTACTCGAAATGACATTCGCCGGATGAGTTAATATTAGATCCACAGGCAGGTCTCAGTGAGACTAGAAAAAGTCTAAAAGAGTTCGCTCTCACTGACCTTTAACACCGAGTTATGATCGATTTACTAGATTTTCGACCCATTTTAGGCACTCTCAGGAAGACTGAGTAACGAAGCTTTGATCCAAAATTTTGTCTATAGATAAGTTTAATGACTATTAGAATATTCTGAAAGTTTCGTCGAAAAAAAATGTTCCTTCATGGAGTTATTGAATTGTCAAGTAAACTCGACATTTGCAGCAAAGGACTATTTTTAGAAATTCAATATCTTGACGGAAGACCATTCTTTTCCGATGAAACTTTCGGAATACTCTAAGTGTTGTTAGAGTTATCTATAGGCAAAATTTTAGATTGAAATTCTGTCATTTGATTTTTTGGAACTATCCACTAAGGGTAAAATTAGCTAGGTTAAGAAATACAAGTCATTTCCAGCTGAAAAAAAATGGAAGGAACTTGGAAGCAGGAGTCTGGTAGCTGACTCTGTTTGGAACTAGAAAAATTTGGTCATTGGATCTGATCATCGAATCCCTGCTTATAAGTTTCGACCATTTTTTCGGCTAAAAATTCACGGATTCGGACTTCGAAATCATTGGCTTGAGTAGAAGATGCATAGACAAGCCTATTTTATTTCTTTATAGTACCCTGGTTTATCCCCTGGGAAACCGATAAGTATATCTGATATATTCGGTGAATTACAATGGAATTCTACACCAATGTCAAATCATACATTGACTAGATCATCAACTATTGATAGTTCAATTTTAAATTCAACAATAAATGGGCATATTCCTACTGAGATTATTAATGGATTCCAAGAGGAATCGAAAACTGAATCAGAGAAAACAACATCAATGTCTGTAATGCAAAGACAAAAACAATGGACAATAGATGCAGCAGGTGTACCTCATTTTCTATGTGTACTTTCAAAGAAAAATCATCTTCTTTTTGCTTGTGATAAATTTGGTTCTATTGATTTATATCAACTTGATAGTAATGAACCGAAAACTAGTCCTCGTCATTTACGACAATTTGAACTTTTTCCTGGAAATACGACTAGTCAACAACCACAAATTATTGAAACATTTACTGTTTATACACCATTTATTGTAGTTGCAGCTCGTATGTTGAAATTAAGACTTCAATTTGAAGCAAAAAAAAAAGAAATTTTTTTTTTCTCTCTCTCTCTCTTTCTCAACCTAGATTTAAATGACCAAGCTGATACAAGTTCAATATATTTTTTTGATCATCGTGGTTTAAAACAAGCCGACACATGTTTACAAAATTTTCCTGTTCGACAACTTTCAGCCGATGTTAGTTTTAAATGTTTATGGGGTATTGATCGCCATCAACATGCAGGTATGATCCATTCTCGAAAAAAGTTTATTGAAATTAATATCTTTATTCATATACAATGCTGAACGAGATTTTTTAGACGATTTTGTTTTAAGTATAATTCAGTTATACAAAACTGTCTTTTGACTGGTAGTTTGTGTCAAAAGTGCAATGAATAATCATATTATATCTACGGAAAATTTCCTCCATCAGTGTCAAGTCATAGCGGAACTGGACTCATAACAAGTTGAAGTAGTCAATTTTGGTTGGACAAAGTTTTTGGAGCAATCTTCTGATTGATTTTTTGTTCTTCAAAAATGTTTAAAAAGATTGAATCCGTATGAGTGAAAAGAGCAGAATAAATACTATGCTAGGATAACTAACACGTCTTATTCTTTCAGAACAAAAACATCACCTGATAGGCAGTGGGATCACTAGAAGTTACGGTTTTATTTCATTTTTTTAGCATAATTATACGGTTTTTCGAGTAAATACGATTTGAACTGAACAGAACCGAATTCGAACCAAGTTTCTGAAAATGAAGTCGAACCGAATCGAACCTGAACTGATTTTTTGAAGCTAAAGTCAAACTGAAACTCGAGCCCGAAAACTCCGATTCGTTTCGGGCTCTGTTAAAAGTCCAATTTCACAATGACTTAACATACTCGGGCAAAGCTCTTCAACTGTTCAATCGCTTTTGAGTCGAGACTATATGTATTATGTAGATCTAAATGAATTATGAACGCTTTGAAAAGAGTTCGTGCCCTTAGTTGATTGCTACATGGATACTGCACTTTTACAATATTTATTCAAATAAATGTTGTGATCCTCCTCAGGAACACCAGGAAAAATCATTTTCAAATTTCGACTTGAAACTTTCACAATAAACTATTCTCGCTCTCTATGCAATGTTTCAAGTCAAAACTTGAAATCATTTTTCTGTTCCCATGACTTTCAGTTAAAAAATAACGGAAAAGTTCAGTATCTTCGCAGCAATAAGCTAAGGACGCGAAATCTTTTCAAGGTATTCATAGCTTATTTAAATCTATATAGTATACATAGCTTCGACTCAGAAACGATTGAACAATTGGAGGACTTTCCTCATTAGGAATCACGTTTTCTGTGGATATACTATAGACATTGATCGCACTTTTGATACAAACTGTTCGACAAAAAAATACTTTTATGATAGAGATATACTTAAAACAAAATTATTCTGATATCTTTTGCTAATTTTTATAGTTTATTATAATCAATTACCAATGAATGTTCAACAAATTCCAACTTACATAGAACATCGTGAAGAATTTATTAAATTTAATCGGAATTTTGAACCAATACGGTAACTTTTCAAAACTATGAATAAATTTAATTAAAAAAAAAAGAATAATAAAAATTTTTATAGAATAGCCCAAAATCAAACATCTATTGCTATTGTTGAACGTAATTCTCAATGTGCACATATATTTGATAAACAAACAAAAAAACAAATAGATGAAGTTGAAAATTTATTACGTACAAAAGGAATATTTCGTTTATGGAATGTTCTAGTAAGTTTAATTAATTCGAATATAAAATAATTCTTTTTGTTATGTTTATTTAGCTTCGTGATGATAATTCAATGGTACTTAAATTGGATGAAGATTTACCTCCGAATAGTCGACCACCTTCAATAAATCATCTTGTGCTTGAACTTGATCCCAAAGGTATACCTATATCACAAATTGAACGAACATCTGTGTATGGCCTTGCTATTGGACCTAATCAAGAAATTTTACTTGGTTGTAAAAGACATCAACAAAATGGATTAATTGAATGTTATATTTAAATATTTACTTTTGATTATTAAGGTATTCCAATAACTTTATTTCTTTAATTAATCAAATTGGTTATTAAATCTTTCTTTTTTTATTTTTTAAGAAAACCAATATGATTACAAAAATAAAATATTTTAAAATGCTACATTTGTTTCAATTCCGGAACAATTTCTTATTTTCAACATATATTTTTCTATTACTCTTGACTACACAATAGTGTACCACTTTTTTTTTCTTTTCTTTTTATCCAAGAAGAATGAACAAACGCATGCGCATGATTCTTTTTGTTTTTATATAAAGCGATCACGTTTTTTTTTTAGATGCATATATTTATTTAATTTCATTTTTAAACACAATGTCAAATCCCGAAAATTGTCCAAACTGGTAAAAATTACTAATTATATTAATATATTCATTTGATTTTTTTTTTGTCATCTAGTGATAATATCTATGGCAATGAACCACGTAAAATTCCATGGTAATATTGAGTTTGAAAAACTTTTGATAACCTTCTTTTTTTTTCTTTTATTTTTTTTTTCTGTTCTTATCAAGTGGTCATATTGTCTGTCATAAATGTTGCCTGGATTTATTTAATAAAGAAAATAACACTCTTTCTTGTCCTGTATGTTACGAAACGCATGCGTTTAAATCAAAAAATACATTTAAAAAGTCTCTACAACAAATTGCTCATTCTGGTTTTGGAAAAAAGACAACAACACGTGAACTTAGTTTTGCATCAACAATGGTAAGACAAAAAAAAATAACAAGAAATCATTTATCAATGTTATTTGTATATATATATGTAGCCAGTTGAAAAAGCATCTGGTGCAGAAAAATCAGCTAATAAGGAAGTAAAAAAAGCAGTTGCAAATTTACCAACAGCTCCACCAGGTGCTCCACCTGAAACTTCACCAATATCTGCTCCACCACATCCACCACTATCGGAGCCTTTTGTTATTACTAAAGCGCCATCTCCAATGCCACTTATGCCAACCAAACCTACTGTGATGGATGGTGTACCAAAAATTACAAAACAACAACAACAACAATCTACATCGAATAATACAGTTCTACCTTCTTTACTTAATACAATAGTTACACCACCACCACCACCATCATCATCATCATCATCATCTGTTTCTGACGCAGTTATTGCTCGTTGTCATAGTTGTGGAAATAAATGTCAAGTAATTGTAAGTTAATAAAAATTTGAATTGTTTAATTTTTCTTTTTAATAATAAATATTTATTAGGTTTGTGAACATTGTGATCATTTTGTATGCCTTAAATGTGCTGAAGAACATCGAACAACTACTAAAATTGATACTCAAGAATTAATAAATAAATGGCATGAATGTAAAAATAAATATAATATTTTACTTCAAAAATTAAGTAAATAATTTTTTATTTTTTAATTATATTTAAGGATGCATAAATTTCTCAACCGTAGTTTCAAAGATGAGTTTTTTTTAGTATTCACAATTCATTGTTCTGTCAATCCTTTTATAACAACTTCGCTCAGTTTTGATTATTCTATCTAAAGCTATCATTAGATTTCATTGCATTTACAAACTGAGGTTCAGAATTTGTGGAAAGGACTCGATCAAAAACCAGCAATTTTTTTTGGGCACTGGAAACATTGTAAAATGAAAGTACGTCAGCAATATACAACTACTTTGATGTCAGTTCATTAGAAACTTGTCCTTTTTGTGAACAAAAATTTTTTCGAAATATCAGAATTTGTTGGGATCTCTTTGAAAAGAATAGAAAATGAAGTTTAGATAACGTATAATATTTCAAGAATATTTTTCAATATCTTATTAATCAAAACATGTATGATATGCTTCAAAGACTCAGATTTGTTTAACCGTTCTCTTGTAATGGCCAAGTTAGAATAACATAAAACCTCGTATGAAAACGAGAAATAGTAGAAAATCAATCATTCGTAGTCAATATGATTCAATATTGTGTTCTGTTGTTCATACGGTTCCATTAAGTGAACCAAAGTTAGTCACTACCGATGCAATGCGTTAAAGTTCGCATTAACAATAGCAGAATTCTGTTCACGATTTCTTAGTTTACTTCATGAGACCTCTTCATGCGCCTTTAGTTAATAGAAAAAAGCAATATAGATGAAAAATAGAACATAATAGCAAATCACATTGACTATGGATGAAAGATTTTCTACTGTTTCTAGTTTTTATACGAGATTTAATGTCATTTAAACTTGGCCATTACAAAAGAACGCTAAAGCAAATTTAATTTTTTTTAAAAATATTACACTTGTTTTGATTAATAAGATATTGAAAAATATTCTTGAAATATTATTCTTTATATAAACTTCATTGTCTATTCTTTTGAAGGAGACTACCACGAGTCCTGATATTTCGAAAAATTTTTGTTTGCAAAAAGGACGAGATCTTAATGAATCGACATCAAAGTAGTTGTATGCTGCTGACGTACTTTCATTTTACAATGTTTCCAGAGCGCGGAAAAATTGATAATTTTGAATTAGGTCTTCTCGACCAATTTTGAACCTTGTTTTTTTAGATGCAATGAAATCGAATGATAGCTTCGGATAGAGCAATCAAAACCGAACGAAATTGTTATAAAAAAATTGACAAGCTAATGAATTGTGAATACTAAAAAAACTTCATATTTGAAACTTTGATTCAGGAATTGATGTACCCCTAATAATATTGATTATTTAATAGTTGTTACTTCTTTTTTCCATTGAATATGAATAGATCTATATAATCGTGATCGAATTCAAATTGAAAGTGATCTCGCCGCTATAGGAGTTGCTGTTGAACAACGTTCACGAGATGCTATTCAAAATGTTTTTGATCAACGTGATTCTTTAATTAGTCATATTAATGAATATATTGAAAAAGAACAAGCAATCAATAGGTATTAATACAATTAATATGGTTGTCTTAAAATAATTCTTTCATTTATTAAGTATTAAACATAATGATCTTGCTAATGAATTTCGGCAAATGCAAAATCATTTAGAAAGTGCTCAGAAGTATGATATTTATTGAATTTATCTAAAACTATTTTTGTCTTATTATATAGTGGAGAAGATATTGGTTCACGTACTCGAGATGATTTTTTACGGGATATTCATGAACTTCAAAATCGAATGAATAAACGCCATAATTTAATTGAAACACATATTTTACAAGTAAATAAACATTAAAAAAAAGAAAACTTCCTCAAAATCTTAACTTTTGTTTTTCTTCTTTATTTTAGATTCCAACAATTAGTCGATATGAACGAGTACCAATTCAAAAATTACTTGGTGAACTTCATTTTAATTCTCATATGATGAATGGTATTCCTAATCGAAATATACCATCTTTATTAAACAATCAATCTTTACCAAAACAAAATGGTTTATTAGATTATCCTTCAAAACCTTCAATAACAATCATACCTAAAACATTAACAAGAATCTCTTCACCACCACCGCCACCGCCACCACCAATAGCTTCTAGTACATCATCAAATAATCATGTTACAACAACAACAACAGCAAATGATATAACTAATATTAAACCATTAATGTCAGGTGCATATCAAAATGGTACAATCGATGTATTTGATGAATTTCGTCGTATGGCAGCTCAAATTCATCAACAATTTAATGCGCCTTATAGTAAAGTAATTAATGCTGCATCATCAATTCCATTATCAACATCTGATGGAATTCAAAATATTGATGGAATTGATAAAAATTCTAAACGATCATTACCAAAAACAAAATATCAAACGCCCTCAACAGGTTCATTTACCATGCAATGGAAAATCGAACACACAGCAGGTACATAAATGATATATTATTATACAGGAGCGTCTATAAATATCTAGATGATGAATAAATTCACTATCTTCAGTCTACTTTGATCAATCAGGCTAATTTTTTTTCTTGATGATAGAGGATTTATCAAAGTTTTTTATTCGTAACGAACCTGTCAAATTAATATTATTAGCGCTAGCATTATTAATTGTAATGAAGAAGTATTCTATTGACCAAAAGTATCGTACTCTCAGATTTCAGCCATTCGGAGACCGAGACTTGTGAAGTTTTTAATGTATATACTACCTTAGAAATATAGATCAGTCTGGCTTTGTTCATTTGAGTTGAAAAGAGATTATGATCTATGGCAAACTTTCACAATGTGAGTCATATAATTCAAGAAAGAAACAAGCTTATGCCTCGACGAATTGATCATTATATAAGCTTTTAATGCGGATATTTTACATAATGATAGATTGGCTAGACCTTAGGATTCATCCTATTGACAGTTATAGAACTTTTAGTAAGAAGAGCCATCATACGTTATAACTAGGGTTTGTTGTGACCAAAGAGAGAAAAGACTGTTCGATAATAATCTCCATGTTAGGTGTGAGAAAAAAATAATTCTATTTGACCTTTTGTATTCAGAACTTTTTTCTCTTCAAAATGGTATATAATACTCGAGGATATATGACAGAGAAAATTCCGACACATGCGTCGTGACTAGAACTGATCACGAAGAATATGTAACATTTTTCTCTGACATAGATCGTTGTATCCTCGCCTTTTAAACATCATTTTGAAGAGAAGAAAATTCTGAATACAAAGGATCGAATTAAATTTACTTGCTCACATCGAACATGAAAGTTATTATCGAACAATCTTCTTTTCTTTGGACACGGTTCAATGAGCACATTTGACTCTAATCAAAACTTTGAAGAGTCCTGTATAACCATGAAAAAAAACAGGCTGGAGATATTGAGTGCTTTTTTGTCTAGGTATTTATGGGCCACTCTGTATATATATCTAAATTTTTATTTGTATATATATATATATATATTTCTTTTTTTAAGTACCTAACTTTTTATGTATGACACCATATCCAACACCAAAAATTTTTATTCTTGATAAATATGGTAAAGTATCTGTATGTAGTATTCCACCAAAACCAACAAAACCATTTGAATCATATTCATTATTTACAAATGGT